AGAGATCTTCTTGAGGGACTTCGAAGCTATTGCAGAGTTAAGTGGCGTGCAAGAGCCGTCGGCGAAGACGCTTTTACTTGGAACGTTGCTGAGAGGTCGGGCGAAGGCAGCATATGATAGTGCGAGGCCAACAGAAGGGCAAGCAATTTGGAAGTAAGTGGTTGAACGCTTGAAGCAGGAGTTTGACACCCCGATGGACAGAGAGCGGGCAATGCAGCAGTTTCGCACCACGAAGCTGGGAGCTGACGGTGATCCTCTCGTATTGGAACTGACCTTGACAAGCCTACTGCGTCGCGCTCTACCAACACTGGATGAAGATTCTGAGGCACAAATGTTGTCAGCCCAGTTTATGGAGAGTGTTCCAGAACACTTATCACAACAGCTACATTTGGTTAACGCCGTACAGTCACTGGAAATTGGGGAGCTTGCGAAAATGACCAGACAACTGTTAAGCAACACGGTCGCAGCTGTAGAGCCACCGAAATCCGAGCAGTGTGAGAAACAAATGAACAGTTGCAACGTGAAGTAGCCGCGCTGAGAGTGAACGTGGGGAGAGACCGGTGTTTCGCATGTGGTAAACTGGGCCACTGGAGAAACCGTTGCCCGGAGAGACGACAAAGAAGAGGTTTTAACAGAAATACCATGTCTTCTTCCTGTGTTCCGAGACTTGAGGTAATAGGGGCGATGAAGAAGTGGGCGATACATTCGAAGGTTTGTGTGAATGACCGCGAATTGGTGTGTTTAATTGACGCAGGGGCAGCAGTCTCACTCGTCGAGAGGAGCTTCTGTGAGAGTATAAGACCGTGTTCGTTGACATTACAGACAGTGAGGGGTTACGTGTCAAGAATCGAGGGAGTGTCAGACTGCAGAGTTAGAATTGGAAAGGAAAGTGTGACGTTCCCATTCCTGGTCGTACCTGAATTACGCCGAACAATCCTTGGGGCAGACTTTCTGCGGGAAGTGGATGCAGTGATTAACATAAAGAAAAAGGTTGTCGTTACAAAGTATGGTTGTTTCAGCATGCACGAGAATAGTGAGGAAGCAGGGATTGCAGCGTCGGAAGTCCTAATTGTAGCAAAGTTACTTCGCTAATACGACCGTCTTTTCACTGGAGAGGGAGATCCGTACGGTTACTGTGATAAAGTGAGACACGAAATTGCAGTGACAAGCGGAAAAGGGAGACCATTCGTTACTCGAAGAGTCCCGTGTCAATTAGAAAGCGAGGTTATAAGACAAGTTGAAGAGATGTTGAGGGATGACATTATTGAAGAAGCCGATAGTCCATATAGTTCTCCAGTGCTATTGGTGAAGAAAAGCAACGCGAAATACACATTTTTTGTTGACTTCCGACAATTGAACAGTATAACAGAGCTGAGACCTTGCGCGATGCCAACAATAGCAGAAACCTTAGATCACTTACAAAATGCGAAGCTGTTCACAGTCTTAGATGTGCGATCGGGGTACTGGCAACTGCCAATAGAACGAGGAGATAGAGGTAAGACGGCGTTCTTTGTGGGACAAAAACAGTATCGGTTTAAACGCATGCCTTTTGGATTGGCAGGTGTTCCGTTTACATTTAGATGATTAATGACGTTGCTGCTGAAGAATTTGAGGAACGTCGAAGTTTATGGAGATGATCTAGTGATATACAGTACAAGCGAGACTGACCACGTAGAGCATGTAAGGCGGTCCTAAGACGCATCGAAGAATTCGGTCTACGCATCAACAAGGAGAAATCTCAGATTGCCAAGAAGAAAGTTACACTTTTGGGTTATAAGGTGGGAAATGGCGAGATAACACCACTGCCTGAAAAAATCCTAACAATCAAGTCCATTGAGCCCCCCTTATTCAAAAAGAGAATTAAGACAAATTTTGGGAGAGCAGCGTTCTACAATCGATTCTTGAAAATCTTCCTAGGTCCTCATCAGAAGAGGCGACCAAGTCCCCTGTTTGTATATAGAAGTTCTCGAATTGTACATCAGTGTCAGTCTGACTAATCTCGACCCTCCAGAGGATATGAGACTACAATTTATGCAATATGTCGACGAGATCGCCGAATCCAATTCCTCGAAAAAACGAACACAACCGATGAAAGGCTTAGAAAGCCGAACTCCGGAATGTAGATTTCCAGCTAATCCAGAAAGGTACGTCCATAACTTTTCTAGTATGATTCTTGACAAACTACAACTGGAAGCGTTATCTCTAGGGACTAAGTTTTGTGATATCCGTACGGAGATTAGTCAGATTGACACTGATGTACAATTCGTGAACTTTTATATACAAACAGGGGACCTGGTCACCTCTTCTGATGAGGACCTAGAAAGATTCGTGAAAAGCTTCAGCAAAGTAGCGGCTCCGCTCTACCGGCTATTAGGTGAGTCAAAGTTTGTCTGGTCGGAAGACTCGCAGAGGGTATTTGAACGCATCAAACAGCTGATGGATCACCAGAGGATGACGCTGCGACTACCGGTGTCGGGAGAGCCGTTCATAGTGTCTACCGACACTAGCGATTACGGAATAGGTGCAGTACTCGGACAGGGTGACGGAGTCGTCGAGTACGCCAGCAGTGTTTTAACGCACACTGAAGTATTCCACAATTGAGAAGGAGTGTTTGGCGATTGTATAAGCGCTAGACAAATGGAGACCCTATTTACTTGCTCAGCCCTTCCACATAGAGACTGATGATAAGCCGTTGCAGTGGCTGAGAACCGCCAGAAACCCACGTGGGAAGTTGTCTTGGTGGATTCTGCACCTACGAAAGTATGATTTCACGATCTCTCATGTTCCAGGAGAAGAGAATGTGTTACCGGATATTCTATCTAGAACAGAAGAGGTAGAATTACCTGAAATAGCATATGGTGTTAATGCCTTAGAGCAGGACCCAGCAAGACTTGTCCAGATTCAAAGATCAGACGACACCTTAAAAACTGTTATACAAATGATAACTAACGAAAAAAAGGTGAATCGGCCCATAGCGAACCGTGAGCTAAATCTCCTACTCAAACAGAAAGACCGGCTAAGCTTGAATGCCTGTGGAATGTTGACGTGGCGGGAGGATGACGGAAGCTGCTTGGCAGTAATACCTCAATGCCCGCGCCAAGAGATGATACAGGACTGTCACCAACTAGCTCACACAGGTGTTACCCGAACAAACGATCTCCTGTGACAAACCATGTACTGGCTAGGTATGAGAGAAGACGTCGAGAAGTACGTAACAGCGTGTACGCAATGTCAGCTGATGAAAGGTGATCAGTACATACGACTGTCACCTCAGTCAGTTCCAGTGACAGCAGTAGGCGACCTGCGGTCCGTAGATGTAATGGGACCTTTTCCACAAACCTCCAATGGCAATCAATATCTTCTGGTCATGACAGAACATGCCACACGATGGCTAACGCAGGCGCGATCCCTGATCAACGCACAAAAACGGTCACAGAAGCAGTGGTTCGACACATCGTTGCAAACCACGATGTGCCAGAAACGATATTGACAGACCAAGGTCCGTGTTTTGAAAACGAAGAGTTTAAAGTTCGGTTGCAAGAGTTAAAAATCAAGAAAATTAGAACAATGCCATATCATCCACAAACGAACGGGTTGACAGAAGGAAATAACTGTACCCCGAAAGAGTGGCTGGCCACAAAGGGCGGTAACTGGGAGATAGGGCTTCCACTGATTCTGCTAGCACATCGTGCGTCCGCGTAAGGAACGACGAAGAAAGCACCGCTTCAGTTGATGTATGGGAGGAAACCACGACTACCGACACATAACAAAACATGGCCCCTCTATCAGCATAGGAGTATTACGAGATGGCGGACGGAGCGAAAATAAGCCATCAACAACCTAAAAAGAAAGCAGAAAGTGGACGCTGTGAAAGCCGAACAGAGGGTAAAGGGGAAGTACCCCGCATTCGAGATTGGAGATCACTTTAAATGTAGAGACAGGCGAAACACCGGCGGATACGTACCAGGGGCGTGAAAACTGCTACCAGAGTGAGAAGGACCATACACGGTCACTGCGAGACGGGGTCACGTATATACCATCAAAAATGCAAACAGAGAGAAGCGGTGAACGTCAGAGAGCTCCAGAAATGGATAGAGCGAGACAAGCCAACGATGACGCCAGCACCAAGAAGATCAAGCCGACTTCAATCCAAACTATTTGACGGGGAATGAGTTTGGTGAGAGCTGTCTGCTAGCCAAATTGGTAGACAGTAATTTACGTCAATGTTTACGTCCTCAATATTGATCGTGAGAAAATATGAACAAAGACTGATTCAACAACCAATCACAGCAGACTTTGCGTAGACGGATACAATTTGCAGATAGACAATCTGAACTTCAATAGACGGCCACAAAGAGATGAAAGATTAACGTTCAGTGAGAAACAACCAATCAGAAGACTGTGTTTGTTTGCTTAAATAATCTATAATAATGTACATGAAAATCTATAAATATCTGTTGATTTCCTAAGTAAATGATCTGTTGCCTGGCCCTTGTCTTCTGTTGTTACAAACTTCTCATTGTACCGTCCTCTTTTCTAGTCACAAGAACGTCTAGAAATGAAATACTAGAGTCTTTTTCCATGGTAAAATTTAATGCAGGATGAACATCGTTAAATTTGTCCAGGATGTTCTTTGCTTCATCCTCATTTTTCATAATAAATAGAAAATAATGTTCTTTGCTCAATTTCTTTTGTCTTCTAAGTGTCTGAATGATTATCTTCGTAACCTTGTAATGGATGATTCGATTTGTTTAACATCGGTTGACTGGTTCATGAGAATATACGGAGTGTTGGGACTTGATCGATTTTCAGGTTGTAACTAAATGAACTTAATTAGAGAACCATTGAAAACAACGAACTTTTAAACAACCAGCACTGTTGCCAGTTAGTAATTTAGTACTAAAGAGGAACAATTTGTGTCTGTAAAGCGTTATTTATTCATCTTTTCATCTTGTCTATTGAGTGTCTGTTTTCTTTTTTCGTATCTGTTACTACATCAGGTCGATCGGTTGAAATTCTAATGACTAAACCAATGATGTGTATACTTGTGGCAGCAGCATTCACCGGTAAGCGATGAAAGTGGAGTTTAGGCTTAAATTTTTTGACGAAGTTAAGAATTTCAATAATAGCAAATGGTCGACTCAATGAGCATGAATTGAGCTTTTTAAAGTAAAACTTAACTCATTACTTCCCAAAACTCAATGTACCTCTCTATTCTGACCCCGAAGGTAGTCATTTTGATGAATATCGATACTGCTTTGAGGAATATGGAGTTATTCTGCGAATTTATTTTCAGGTAATGAAGCTGTTTAACATTCGCTAAGTCGCTCGTCTGTTTTAAATTTGTTATTTTTCCTTTCCTATAAAAAGTAAATGGGATTCTTTTACAAATTGTGAAAAGCTTAACTTTCGAAAAAATAGATTGAAATTTAAATGGTCATCATAGCAGAGACTGAAGTCTTTTGCTGGTATTAAATTATTAGTAGGGATATTTGATCTGATATGATGATACATGAGAAAAGCAAAACAAGTGATTCAGCGAGGAGATTGGTAGGGAGCGGCCAAAATTGAAATCAACATTTTAAGTCAATGGCTGCAGAGGTAGAAGCGTGTATTCCTCAAATCTGGAGTAAGTTAACGTTGGGGACACGGAATGACCTCATTGGATAACTTGACTAGCCTTGAGCCAATTGCCAACCAGTCAGACCAATGTATTCTCCTTCGACCCAGCCGAACTTTAATGTGGTTAGGAATGTGTAAATATGTTTCCCCTTACTAGAAGTCCATTACTAAGTCTTATAGTCTCCCTCTCTCTATATATTTTTATCAATGATGTGAATTTTAACAAAAATAAGTGGTTGTATATTTTATAAAATAGCTTACGAAACATATCAAAGGGGTATCGAAATAATAAGATTAGTGGTCAGCTAAAACATTACATTATTATAAAACAGCATTACAAAATATTATATTGGATTAAATAAATAATGGTGGAAAGTGAAATAACGAAAATCGTTCAAATCGAAATAAATAACAACTGTCAACTTCATCAAGGAAGAATATACAAATTGAATAAACAAAGAGTAAAATAAGTAGAGCCAAAGTAGCAATGGGGATTATGATAGTTTAGCATAGACGGATTAAGACCATGAGAGTTCGAGGGGTTGAACAAACTTTTTTTGTATATAAAGGTTTGGCTTTTCCGTTTCTACAGTCGAAGCTTCAGCAATACAAAGAGCAGGATACGTGATGATTTGGGTAGGTTCTTTTTCACTCTGTTAATAGGCTTAAAAAAAGAGACTGTAGAAATAAGAGGACTAGCGTCGATCAGATGTTCAATTATTGCTTTTGTTATAGCGTCACGTCCATCTTTTCGTAACCACGCAGGATTGTGTTCTCTCAGCTTCTTGTATACAACATGAGTCGAATGACTGACGTAGAGTTAGTCAGCTGAGGACTATTGTCCTTCAGGACATTGAATGGTGATTGTCGACTCGAAAAGTGTATTCTCATCGCTTCTGTAGTGAATAAACTTTTCAAGGAATGTGAGATCGTTTTAAGGATGTCGTCAGCTAAATCACTTTTGAATTCAGGGTTCATGTGGAGCATATTGTAGGTTACAGATATTAAGTCACATTTTGTGCATTTCAACTGTCTACAAAACGTGGTGAAAACCCATTTCCCATTAGGATTTTTCCAAGATTTAACTCTCCTCCCTTCGCAGCATGAAGACTGTATATACGTATGCTGTTTTGATGTGTGGCAACTTAAACTGCTGTACATGGTATGTACAAAATTCTATGTCGAAAATTCAGTTCAGTGCATATAATATAAGTCATTGTCTTATGGTAAACGATATTGTTTTAATGAGATTACTTCCCTTCTCATAGGCTTAAGTGATTTTCGTAAGTATGTTACTTGTGATCATGTTAAGATTTGTAATGAAGAGGCAAGGATATACATGTAATACTGTGCATAATTTCCGACTCTCGAATTCCCCCTTCAACATTGAGATATAAAGTATGTGTATGACAACAGTAAGCCAAGAGAATTGGTAACGGAATTATTCACAAAGAAAAACACAGTTTTGTTCAGCGAAGAAATAATCCTTATCAACAACTTCATTTTTAAGCTGTACAGTCATATTTATAGTACGGAAAAAGGCATTTAGTGGCACTAGAAATTGCTCAGTCAATATGCATATAGTAAAAACAAAGGTAATTGAAACGATTTATTAAGGGGATGTAGTTGAATTAGATGAATCACAAAACTTTTAAAGGTAATTAATTAAGTGAATTGGCATTAAGAATTTAAAAAGAGTGGGTCAAGTTTTGTTTAAAAATTAGGAGCGCAATGATGATAACAACAAATAAGTCGAAGATGAAATGAAGTGGTAAAATATAATAAAATACAAGAACATTACCATGACTAAGGTAAAGTAGTGGGTTTAACAAAATGTTTTTGAATATATTTAGGCTTCTGTTCATGAGTAACTAGAGCTTCAGCTATGCATAGGCGGAGGGAACGTAAGCTTTTGGAGTAGCTGGATTTAGCGCTGTAGATAACTTTAAAAGATACATCACGTGGAATTAAATGACCTGACTCCAGAAGGTGTTCACAAATTAAAGACGTCTTCATCCTATGCTCGGAATTTTTCATTGCAACTTGATACACAAATATAGGCAAAATACTTCTGTGCGTCGGTGGCACAGTGGTTAGGACTCTCGCCGATCATACACATGGTCCGAGGTTCGATCCCCTGCAGACGCACACCTGATATCTACGGTTGGCCTGCAAAATTTGGGCTACCGATATCACATGCTGTAAATTCCATACTTGTACCAAAAATACAGTTTGGAATCAAGCTGTAATCAAAATGATAATAATAACCACAATTTGTATACATAGCTCTGTGGTATTGTGCTGCTTTGTCTTCCATACTGTACTTCTTTGTCTGCCTGTCACTTTTTCCAATTTGTGTCGCAAGCAACCTTCCTTAAATTTATGCTTCAGCCATCAAATTTTCTTGACGCTGATATACATATTTGCATCCATATACTACTTAGCAATCGTTTCAGTAGCGCACGTTGCGTATGCATCCCTGAACTCCTCGTACTAATTTTTACTGTGGAAAAAGATTCGCGTTTTCTTTTGTTTTATAGGCATTAATCTAACATTTTATTCAAGTCTTTATGCTTCAGCATTGGGGCATTGTTTACATTTTGGTAAAAATGCTAAATCTTATATCGGATTAGCTGGTTTATTCATTGGGATTGGAGAAATTGTCGGTACGTTAATTAATCAAGTTATGTATCATTTTCAAATTATATTTTGTTGAATGAATTCATTTGATTTCATACGGTTTTCATCAGCTCAGTTGTGCATGCAACTGTGTACAGTGTATAAGTATAAAACTTGAGCACTGTGGTAGAGTGTAACTCCATCATGGATAAGATTTTATTTTGATAAATCACACAGTCCTCTGTATAGTCTACTTCTTCCTATCAGGAAAATAAGAATGCAACCGCCTACTAATCTAGCACCCTGTTTGTGTCACAATAATCTTATTTAACAGAAGACACTTGGTTACAGAATGAAAGATAGATATATACTCAAGGAAGAATACGAATAAATTTAACACCTTTGTCTAAACTGGAGGTGATATCATGATATTAATATTATATATTACATCATATTGTATTCTCAGTATTCTGTCAATGAACTGTTGTAAAAGACACTGACACTGTTATTTATTTGGGCTATTTGTAAGATATTTTGTATGGGTGTCTAGGCGTTTTTGAAGGCTGTTAATCAGCATACCATTTCACCGACACCAAATATTTCTCCCGATGGTTAACAAGCAGTTGCAAACAACCCAAAGAAACCTGGTGAGACATCTTCCTAAACTACAATTGTTTTTCGTATTTGATAAGTTTATTTGATTCAACACTCAATATTGCAGTATTAATAACTGGATGACATTCGGAGCAGAATTTATTGCTCATAATCATGAATTTAGTCACACGGCTTCATAATTTGCGCAATAATTATTTCTGTTCCCTTGTTACTTGTGGCTACTTTCGTATCTCCAGTATAGGCGTTGTATAATTTCGGTTGCCTGTGTTTGTTGTCGATTGGATGAACAGTGACTCAGTGAATAACCACTCTCTCCATTTTAGGTCTGGCCAAAATCTTATGTTCCGATTACCTAACTGACATTGGTTACTAGTGTGACCTGTGTGATTAACCTCACAGTCATTGCGTCGTATTTTGTAAATTATATTGCCTTTCTTAATTGCATCTATTGGGTCGTTGAGCCGACAAAGTTTATCTCTGAGAGAGATGGTTGGTTTAAATGCTACCCTAATTCCAGCTTCATTGAGAATCCTACGTAAGGCCTGTGATACCCCTTTTTTATACAGCAGTAGTGAAGAAAATATTACTGGTAAATAAATAACTATCTACCAGAATTCATTTGGAAACGAATCAATACCCATAGAAAAATAAAATTAGTGAAAATAGTAAAAATAACATTCGAAGCCTCTATAGTACTGTTGTATGAAGAAGGAACATCACAGACCTTACAACTTCCCACAAGATTTCGTGTCATACTCCAACATCCTTTTAATTGCTTCCTGTTCGGGCTCCACCCGACAGTCTGATGTGTAATGTTACTCTCTCACTCCATTTCCTTGTATATATTTTTGGGGGCAATAAGTTCTTGGCTAGTTGGTTCACCGTTGGAGTGCCTTTTTACTTATCCCTTCTAGCTATTGTTACAATAAAAGTAATAAGTAATGCGTTTTGGACCTAAACTTGACACTTGTTTAATCGAGTTCATAAGAGCTATTTATTAAAAGCATTGACAATTCTGGTAGTGCTATAATTAAGCCCGAGTCATATTGTATATCAAAACTATAACTCAGTTTTACAAAAGTTTGTTTACAGTACTGAATCAATCCAATTATAGATTGAATAACCTTTTATACATTAACTTCAGGTTACAAGCTTGAAATGTGTATGTGTATTACAACTCAATGACTGAGTTAACTGAAGAAGCTATGCTGCCTGGTATGTGTATTTTGGGGTTCATAACGTTCGATGATTGTCAGGAAGTAAACTAGATGAGGCTCCAATGTGAAATCTATTAGCTGAATACCAATTTCTCAAACTGATACTAGCCATAACTGTGTACCCTCAGTGAACTGCATTTCTGCATAGTTGCATATATATATATGTATATATATATTCAATCATTTCCCTTTGACATTTATTAATTTGTCGTTATGTAGGCAGTTTTTCTTCTCGGTTAAACCGATGGATTCGTTTAGAAGGGATTTTAGTCGCCTTTGGTTATTCTACTGCAGTTATCGTTGGTTATTTCACCTATATGATGCTACCAGCTAATAGTCCTATGATGGATACTGATGATGCTACTTATATCACACCAAAGTAAGCATGATATATGGAGTTGTTTCTGGCTTTTTTTTCTATCAAATCACAACATCATTAATTGTATTTTCGTGGGTGGGTGGGTGGTGGTGGGGGTAGAAATGTTTGAATCAATTACTTCCCTTCATGAATTTTCACAAAACAATATAAAGAGATAGTTTATCTTAAGCACTTAATGTATTATAAGTTTCCAGACCGTGGATGCTACGAACTTCATGGAATGATTTGAGCGCGGAGTCAGCGTGATTCATTATAAGCTATTTAAATTAATCCCAGCGTGTTTAAGAAAAAATCAAAACAAGATTTTTCTGAACGTTTCGTTGTGTAAGCTACAGGCTTCTTCAACAGAATTATTCGGATTTTACTAATCACCAAAATATATGGTCAGAATTTTTTACATAAACTGAATTCAGTTTATTTGAAGGTCACTTGTCAATAGACATTTGTACCAATAGAAATATGTAAGCAGTCATCATATATTTGTAATTACTAATGTCAAATTGTTATTAAGTATATTTGTCTGCATGATTGCATGTTATACACAAAATAAATGTTCCTGTAGGACCAATAATTGATTTCATCAATTCAATGACCTACACTTTATCAAAACACATATCACGAATACTGAAACCATTTCAATACAATTTTTCCTTGGGCCATTAAAAATATTGAGTTTAAAAGAAAAGTAATGGGCATAACTAGTGAAGAAGATGAAATTATGGCAAGCTTTGATGTGGTTTCTCTATTTACTAGTATTCCTATATGTGATTCGCTTGATATCATGAAATATGAATTTGAAAACAATCAGGAAGTATTAGCTAAATCTTCATTATCAATAGCAGAAGTTATAAAAAGCTTAAAACTTTGTTTAGAATCTAAATATTTTACCTTTAAAGACAAACTATACTGTTTGCGGATATTATTGTACTTTTGGGTAACTATTCTGACTAAAATGCAAAGTCTTCTCAATATATGGAGCAGAAATCTTCGGAAGTTTGGCATACAATTCCCCACTGTTAAATGCAAAATGCTGCTACATGACCGGACTACGCAAGCCCTTAGGTAAAAGGGAGGAAGTGGAATGGCAGAGTATGTTGACCACTTCACTTATTTGGGAAGTTGTACTAATCCTAATTTACTGATTGTTGACGGAATGTCAGCATGGGTACATAAGACTTGTGTGGCATTTACCACTTAACGCCATCTCTGGCATAGACGTGATATTTGTTTATCGACCAAGGGACATGTTTATGCGTGTACTGCACAGCCATTCCTCCCCTTTCATGGCATGACATAGCCATTGAAAGTGAGAGATATGGAAAAACTGTCTTTGGCCACAGATGTGTGCGTTCTATCTCCCGTACTAATTGGAATAATCTGATGAATAATATCGAGGTTAGGCGCAGAGTGTTATGTAAGGAGGGCAAGTCAGTCGATGGTGTTGTGAAGCTACATCGATGAGATGGTGCATCTCCAGCCTTCTTCGACGAGGAATGTCAGCTAACATAAGACTAGATTTAAGAGTTAGAGATAGTCAAACCAGAACGTGGGATCAGCCGATGAAGTCTTTGACAGCTGGTTTCAGCCACACAGGCCTGATTTGGTTCCTCGGATACTAAAATCCAATCGCTGGTGAATACTGGTGTAACGACAGAAGACAAGGGCCAGGCTACAGATTGTTTGCTGAGAAAATCAAGAGATATTTATTGACTTTCATGTACATTATTGTTAGCGGAGAAACAGCCTCTTCTGATTGGTTGTTTTCGTGCTGAAGGTTATTCTGTCATCTCTACGTGGCCGTTTCTAAGACAATCAAGTCATATGTCTGCGAATCATATTTCCACACGTTAACTTCATGATTGTCTGGTGCTTTTCTCGAGGTTACGCCTTGTTATTGTCTTTCTCATGACCTTGATCCGGGATGTGAACAGTGAGGTAGATTGTAGTCTACAATTTTGGCTAGCAACCAGCTCCTACCACACTCGTAGGGTATGTCTCAAAATCGTTCACAGTTGCGCAAATGCATTCACTTTTTTATCTCCTATATCCATTGAACCCTCATGTTTTTCCATGTTACTATTTTTCCAGCACATTTCTGCTTAATACAGTGCTTTTGAATCTCCTTTTCCTTTCTTTTCTCTTCCTCTATGTGGATATGAAGTGTAGCAACTTGATGTGGTGCACTTATGTGCAAAGTTTTACGTTGAAACTGAGTCAGTCAGTTAGTATCCATTTTCAGGTTTAACTGAGTTAGGTAATTTTATTTGTTCTTTTTGTCATTCAATAATGAGTTCTGTGACCCTTTACCTGTAGAGAATAATGGGCTCTTCCTATGCACGTTTAATCACACATGCATCTAAATTGGTAAACACAGTGGAATGTCACATCGTTCAAATTCCGTGTGACTTTTTCAAAATATCTTGTCATTGTATAACTACTTAACTTTAAAATTTTGACTTAAAATACACCTTTCAAAAACTGTCGATATTACAAATCATTCTGCTTAAATTTGTCTTCAGCATTTATTATTATTATTTATTAGTTGGTTATTTTTCCTTAAGACTGAAGAAGATTAGTATCCAATAGTCAAGTTGTTGACTAGTGGACACAGAGAGAAGATGAAGATAAAGATTTATAGAGCTCAGATGGATGGCACTGATGTAGTTATCTTCTCTGAGCAGAATGATTTAATTGTGAATAATTCTGTATTTCTAGACAATATTTCGTCATTAACTTCAATATGATAGTTTTTAGAATTCTCCATGAGTGTAATAACTGTCTCTCTTGATGACCGTAAACATGATTGGTTGTCTCTGAAGATTTCTTTTGTTATCTTCTTCTTCACTTGTATCTTGGTATTGATTATTTTGTTGACTTTTTGTCCATGTGTTTCTCATTGCTTTATAAATTTGATCTATATCAATATATCTATTATATGTAGATTCACCTGAGTACTATGGTTTGGACAGCCTTATGTGTCATTGATATTTTATCATTTAACTCATGGAAAATTCCCATTTTAACATATAGAAAATCAAAACAAGTGACTCAGCGAAGAGACTCTTTTCAACGAATTTATCATCAAGCTGTACAATCGTATATATATGGTTTTTTAAGAAGTTATATCTGGTGAGGGAATTGAATCATAGGTGTGAATGCATAAAAATAATAATAGTATGAAATGCAATTAAAAACTAAAATGTTTGTGATTATAATCATAGTTAAATGTCAAGTGGCAAAGCAAATTAATGTCTTGTACAAAATAATTCATAGGATGGATAGAATGTTTTTATTTTATTCGATTGTCCACTAATCCTGTGATTGCACACTTTTTCAAGTTCCATTCCTCGTCGAAGAAGGCTGGAGATGCACCATCTCAATCGATGTAGCTTCACAACACCATCGACTGACTTGCCCTCCTTACATAACACTCTGCGCCTAACCTCGATATTATTCATCAGATTATTCCAATTAGTACGGGAGATAGAACGCACACATCTGTGGCCAAAGACAGTTTTTCCATATCTCTCACTTTCAATGGCTATGTCTCATGGCCATATATATACGATTGTACAGCTTGATGATAAATTCGTTGAAGAGTCTCTTCGCTGAGTCACTTGTTTTGATTTTCTATATTTTATCATTTAACTTGAGTCCATCTTTTCAATGTTTATTTATTTATTTATGTACGCTCATTACCGTTGATATAACGAGCTCCAGAAATGATTTGTTATGTCCTAGGTTGCTAATAGCGATACATGTGACTGTAAGAGTTTATAATACCACCAACAAATTGTTTAAGTTGAAATGGTCATGGAAGGACTCGAACTCAGGACTAATTGTCTAAAAGTCGAGAATCCACATCTTCACATTATGGAAGATTTTTGAAACCGAAATTAGTGTTCGCTGAGATTCTCAGTCGACTTTATTAACGCCATAATTTAAATATAAAGCCCAATTACATGATTTGCGATTTGTGAATTTAAATGATGATAGGATCACAGGATGTTGTAATCTGTCAGACATGGAGGTGAAAAAAACAAAAACTGTCCAAGATTGATGATGAACTGACTTCAGTCAGAGACTCATCGAAGACCAGGTATCAAGGAACCTAACCCTAAGTTCCTATTGTTACGAAGACGCTCCAAACGGATAATTACTACGACTGATTCTCGACTTTAACTCCAAAACACCAGTGATTGTAAGAAGGAAGTTGTAATATTTGGCAATTAAAATCGAGGTTAGTACATAGTCTGTAAACAAATGTTTTACAATAAATATGCTGTACTTTTATTCGTTTTAGTTCTTCTTCTTCGAACCTGCAAACGATTGAACCATCGCGCCTTCGAGTTGCCCACCAACGGCGACCAAGGTCAATGAACCAACGTTCAATGTTCACTTCCATTGACATCAGGGAATACTAAACTGGACCCTTCAGCAGTGCACATCCATGACATCACTACGGATGGGACCCAAGACCTCGGTGACCATTAAAAATTACTAGCTACATTATTCAGCTGACAGTAATGTGATTTCACTCAACTGCTTTCAGGATTCTGAGTTTACGTTAAACACGATCCACCTAGTTAGAAAAAAATATGGACCTTAGGTATATTATGTTCTTTCTGACAAACAAAACGATGACTTTACTGACGTTTCAATTTTTAGTGCTAATAGCCTGTATCCAAGACGCACTCATTCACCCACCTCCAGGTCTGTCTGTCTGTTTTCGACATAGAACTTTGCACAAATGTGCGGAAGTTCAAGTCGCCACATTCCGTGTAGCACGCGAAGCAAGCAAGAGAAGAAAGTACAAGAAAAGCATAATAGAAACAGTGAGCAGAGGTGTGAGACAAAGAAGTAATAAAGAAATACAAAACAGTTTCATTGAAGATCATAAGTCACAGGCAGTGGATGCATCTGCGCCACTGAGAACGGTTTTGAGCCATATCACCAATTGTTTCCAACCATAGATTTTTACCGTCCCGAGGACCCCAGCCTGGAAGTCTACACCTTTCTACGTGGCTTAGACCAACTGTTGTGGATTTCACAGGAGCTGATGTAGTCAACCCAATATGATGCGCACTTTTCATTACACAAACACATCACATCCAACAATTTACATATGGTTCTTATTTGTGTTAATTCATTCAGCTGATCGCACGGAGTTACCTTATACATAAGGAACGTGATTGAGTTACTATATATGAGCTATTGGTTTATAAATTCTGATTTAGTGTTATTTGCAGCATTTCAAATAGGAAAATGTCAGTAAAAGAGTGTTGTCTCGTTTTTCATTCATTGAGGAACGCAAAGCTTTTTATAGTGATTCGACTATTAAGTCAATTCAGTTGATGTCTAGATGGTCATGCAAGACAGTTGTGTTATGCGTTGATTCGCTCGACTTGTCACCTAGGTTTGATCTCTGTTGTGATCATGTGTGAGTTCTGGTGAGGAGCCCCGGAGTTAGACGAAACATTCGTCGATCGCCTTCTGGTTTACAATGTTCCGTCTATAAATGTCGGTTTGTTGATAGAATTTGCCTGCTTTTTGTCTGTTAGCCACCTCAAAACGGAGTTTTTCTGATGATGTTCGTGATGTGCACATCATGAAATGAGAAAACCACTCAGCATACAGCAAATTCCCATCGCTTCAAGGTCTGTCATTACATCTTTTTTTAATCCCTTTATTATATGTTTATGGCTAAATAGCATGTTCTCGTTTCTATCTTTTACCATTTTCTAGTGTTTATTTAGCTATGTTCTTAGCCTTCCTGTTTGGAACTATCGATTCTGTATGGAATACACAAATATCTGCTTTGATTGGATATATTTATGGGAAACACGGAACCGACGTTACAGTTTGCTTTGCTTTATTCAAATCTATTCAGGTGAGTCTGTGTGCGGTTGCCCGACTTTCATCAATAATATTTAACAGACTGTGTAACCTAGTTCCTACCGGCGTCCAACAGTCATTATATTTCTTGACCTAAAGGCGGCATTCCATTCTGTCGACCGAGAAGTTCTCTGGAGATGCTTGGCTGTAAAGGCGATCCCGAGAAAATACATTGCACTGATTAAGGCACTCTACTCGTACTCATACAGCCAGGTGAGGGCTTACGGCGAGTTGTCATCTGAACTGGTGACGACTAATGGGGTCCGTCAAGGATGCCCATTATGTCCATTTCTATTCAACTTCATCATAGATGTGTTAATGGACTTAACCCTAACTCACTTCAGCGACTCAGGGATTGACTTCCTACCAGGGGATAATCTCGTTGACTTGGAATATGCAGACGACATAGTCCTTCTAAGCGAGGACGCTGACAAAATGCAGAGTCTTCTAAACACCTTGAGCCGCAATCTACGAATGTTTGGCATGCGATTCGCTCCCGCCAAATGCAAGATGATGTTACAAGACTGGACTGCATCGACGCCTAGTTTAAAAATAGGAAGTGAAGTGGTAGAGCACATTGAACGCTTCACTTATTTGGGAAGTACCATCAGCCAGTGCCAACGGGTTGATCTCTGACGAAATCTCAGCACGAATACAGGGGGCTCTTTTCGCATTTGCCAGTTTACGCCGACTCTGGCGTAGACGAGATGTTCGACTATCGACCAAAGGGCGGGTGTACTGCTCATCAGTCCGCTCCGTCCTCCTTTATGGCTGACTGTGAGACCTGGCCACTGAGAGTGGAAGACATGAAAAGACTAGCTGTCTTTGATCATAGGTGCCTGCGCTCTATTTCCCGTGTAAAGTGGCATAATAAGGTGAGCAACATTGAGGTTAGGCATCGAGTTCTAGGTAAACAGGGGAAATCAATCGACGAGGCAGTGAAGTTACATCGACTAAGACGGTTAGGACATGTGTTACGTATGCCAAGCCATCGCCTTCCTCGAAGGGCAATGTTAGCTGGTATAGGGTCAGGCTGGAAAAAAGCTAGCGGCGGTCAAACAAAAACATGTCACCACTCAATGAAAGCTACAACGGTTAGTCTAAGCCACGTAGGAAGGTGTAGACTTTCAGGCTGGGGTCCTCAGGACAGTAAAAACCAATGGTTGGAAACAATTGGTGACATGGCTCAAAATCGTTCTCAGTGGCGCTGGCGCAGATGCATCCACTCCTTGTGACTTATGATCTCCAATGAAACTGTTTTGTTCTTCGTTACTACTATTCCTTTGTCTCACAGCTCTGTTTACCGTCTCTATTATACATTTCTTCTACTTTGTTCTCTTGCTTTCTGTGCTACATGGAGTGTGGCGACTTGAACTTCCGCACATATGTGCAAAGTTCTATTTCGAAAACAGACAGAGACAGAGTTTGAAATAAACCTGAAATTAATCAAGAAGCTGGTAATTTGATGTCATTTCGTTGATGGTGACTAGAAGTGGAATCCAGGATGCCCTCTTCTTGTCTACCTTTGTGTGCTACTTGGAACGTGGCAACTCGAACTGCTGCACTTCGGTGCCAAGTTCTTTGTTGAATACAGACAGACAGACCAGGATGCCCGCTTAGACCTTTTTGGGATTTGTCAGCTGTATGTACTCATATCTCAAATGAAAGATAGTGTTCCCACTGATGTATCTCATTTTAAGTTTTGTAAATAACACTCCCTACTACCTTGAATGTTACGGTCTTTATCAGAGAGAGGACGGTTTACAGGGCTGAGGCGTTACATTTTTTGAACTTTAACGCATTACTGGTGATTACTGTTTGGAGATTCATCGGCTTCAGTGCTATCCTTAACAGTAAAAGCACAGCTGACATCGTTGAGAGCTATAACCTTTTGCTCTGCTTATCCCTCTTAAAGAGTGACATTAATGACCTTTAGCCAAATTGTTTACTGTTCCTATCTGAGTAATACAATGAAAACCATACAGAATTAATCCTCTAGTAACCAAATACGTTGCACAAACTTTCCAGGTATACCGATATATATGGATAGTAGAACCAAAAATAGTTTTGTCCTAAACTTTACTTGTGTACTAACCGGTCTTTAATCCAAAAAAAGGAAGGGTGGGTGTGGGTTTTTCATTCCTTAGCGTTTCCAATGGACCATAGAGCTTCAAAGTGGAGGCGTAAGATTTCGGTAGCAGTAGTGTTTATTTTTACGAGATGGAATTGCTAGCCTCATGCCCAACCTTCCCTCTTCACCAGTCTTGTTACTGGCTTACCGAGGTAAAGGAGTGCGTCGGTCGGGGGTCGAACCTAGGACCACATGCGTCATTGGCGAGCGTTCTATCTCTGTGCCATCGACTCACAGTGGGTGTGGTATAAGCAACCAAATTTGTTAAAAAACACCCTAATGGCTTCAGAAACTTCAGATTGCAGACGAAACGAATTTTTCCTTCCTTAGAATCAAGAAGACACTTCATCACGAGGACATATGACACTTGTTGGTGACAGCCTTAGGGGATACAGTCTGTCGATAAGTCTTCTTCCTGTGTAAGCAAGAGGCAGCATATGAACACTGAAGAATATCTGTACCATGTTTGAATGTCTTACTAGAAATATCTGAGGGTGTGACC